TTCACGCGTCGATGGAAGGACCTCGTCAAGGATGGAGAGGGAATGTCGCAGGGACGAACGATTGTGTCCGGCCAATAAAGGAGCGGGAAAGACCTGACTCCATGGGAAATGGATTCTTTTCTCCCAGCCGCGGTGGACCTTCTCGAAGCTCTCCTTTCTCCCCGCGAAATGGCTCCCTCTTTATCGAGGCTGGGCTCAGGATTTGGGATTTCGCTCTTTTAAGGCCCTCCACGGGGGCCGGAGAGATTTATCCCGAATCGGCGGCATCGTCGTCCTGGAGATGTGCTTAATGTTCCGTTATGGCCTTTATGGTCGTCGTTTATAGTCCCAGAGATTGGGTCGTCAATGGAAGCGAGGCTCCCACGACGTTGTCTATCGGGCTTCGTTTTTTACGCCGACGAGCATCCCTCTCGTAAATAAGCGGGAATAATTCAGCCGGCAAGCTAAAATGGACTCGCTTGACGCGAATCCGCCTCCATGCGAAGGAAGGGTCGGATTGAAAACGTCCTCGTTTGAATGAAAAATCAAACCTCCTGATTGGACCTCCGGCAGGGTTGAAACTGGACGCGCCACTGTTCGGGCGGCGTCATTTTTTGTTTTCTTTTCAATTAGCTACACCGGAGAGACAGGTGGACGCTGGGTTTTCATTTAAATCGGACGCGTTCATCGGAACTAGGAAATAGGGTATAAATTAAGTTTTAATGTTCTATCTAAGGGGAAGCGTTGTGTTAAAAATAGTGCGAAACATTACCTTCGGTGATTTGACGCGTCGGTAGCGAAAATTCTGAAAAATCCGAAGTAGTAGTAATTACTGGTGTATCTTTGGTCGAGTCGTTTTAAGTGGGCGTCAATTGGGACGGAACGGTGCCCGGAAATTCTGGCTCGGTCGGGGGTGAATTATGAAAATTTAACGCCTCTCGCCCGCGAATTTTCCCGCGCAGTTCCCCCTAACGAAGCTTGTTTTAATTGTCCTCTATCAGCCAGAGGGCTCGCGGTGCTCGGTAATTGTATTAATTGCAAAGTGTCTTCCGTCCACGCGGCACCCTCGAAGGACACCACCGGCCGTCGACGAGGGTTTTAATTTCCTGCATTTCCGCCGTTTCCACCCCAGGGAAGTCTCTAATTTCGAGTCCGACTCGGACTTCCTCCCCGCGCTACAAAGCGACACTTATGTCCAGCCCCATCAAACGAATAATCAAGGCGATGGTATTCCCGAAATTGGATTCCAAATAACATCCCTGTCAAGTATCGATCTAACAAAGGGTAGAATTACCCTCGAGAGCACCTGGAGTATCGTAATAAATTGCGGAGATCATTCTTCACGGCTACTTTAACAGAAAAATCCGGAAAAACGTCCCGAAAGTGCGGATAAGAAATTTCCCATTTAGGCTGCCGGCTCGTAAATATCGAGCTGGAGCCCCATAAATATTGGATCAGAGCCCCATCGATCATGCCAATCTGATCGGAATCCCTTCGAAGGAAATTAACACATTTTCCTTCCAGAATCGCCCCTCTGACACTCCGGAGGGTGATGTGTCTGTCAAGAGTGGAACTTACTCCAGCAATCGCGCCCATCTAGGAAGGTCGATGGATGCGACTTTATGCAAATCGCCCCTCACCCCCTTTCCCCTCACCTGCAACATGCATCGCGTGCACTTAACCGTACACCCGTCCGAGACGAAGCCTTCGTTTACGCTCTTCGTGACGAATTCACGGGTTCCGAAAAAGATAAAAGAACATAATCTAACTCAAGGGTCGAAAGTTTTGCGGACCGATAAGATTTTCTGAGCGAGACCTGTAATTACCTCCTCTCTTCCGACATGCACAAGGTTTACGTGAATTTTGGCCAATTCACTTTACACCTGACCACGTATCTTGGTTATGCAAATTTTTGCAATACGTTATCTTCCTTTAAAATCATTTTCCCACCGCGATATGTCAGAGTATGTATGTTGCGACCGCCCCATTATATTTTATCATTGTTTCATTAATTTTTCTACACGGACCGTGTATGGGGGTGAATATTTCTGGGGATGTCCAGCCATCCAGCGAACGATTCTCGGGGGTGGAAAATCATTTTTAATCCCCGCGTGCCTTTTGTCATCGAAAATCGGGGTGGTTTGCGGTGCCAGCTCGGGGTGTCCACCGCAAAACAATGGCCACGGGTAAATCACGGTTTTGCTTACTTGTATCAATGTATTATCCCGGTACTTGGTCGGTACCGATCTCGTGTGCGTGCCTTCGTTAATGGGTTTGCACGTGCGTGTCCCTAAATGCAAACGTGATACCGATTTTATCATCCCCCTTGTCCACACAGGGGTTAGCAAAGAGGGTAAAACCAGATGGTTTGATGCAAGCCACCCCGAAGGAACCCTTTGAAATGTGTTCACGATTAACCCTCTCGTCTGCCGAGGCTAATTTATTTATCTCTTATTACAGGATACATTATATCCCTTTGTAGATTAATCCGAAGGCCATTTTCTCAGGGGCGTTTCGTTTTAATTAATTCTCCTCGTCATTAAAACGGGGCCGCCTGTATAATCGGCTCGATCAAAGAGTACAAATGACGGATTTCAGAAAATCGAAGTCAAGAATCGAATTACCCCCGTTCCTGAATTTACGCGAATGAAAATCGCGTAGCGTAAAGTCTGTCAGGACGATAGAAAAAATATCGGCAATAAAAACCGCGTAAATTATGTTATCATTTACCGCGTAAAAAAAAAAAAGGAAAAAACAGAGACTCGCGTAAATAGAGGGAGGAGTGTACGTTTAAAAGTGCAGGACGACGGAAAGTGCGCCTTTCAGCTAAGACCCCTAAAATGTTTACAAGGAGGAACCCTGGAACCAGAAGTATCCGATTACGGGTTAAACTAAAGGCGACCCCAGAAGATCCTGAAACACGAGCGCAATTAACTGCAGGAGAAGTTCCCTCGTCTTTCTCATAGGACACTCCGTCTTCCCTAATAATTTAATCTCCCTTGAAATAAATTTAACTACGCGACTTTTTGTCGAGTCGAGTCCTCGCGGGAGGTCGGGATCCTCTTTTTCCCCTTCTTTAGGGGAAAAAGTTAAATCGATCTCCGTAGGTCGGTCCCAAGAACGAGTCGGTCGCGTCGTAAGGGATTTTCTAATTAGGAGCGACCACACCGGAGGATCTTGATTAACGGAAGTCGGTAAAAGAAAATGGAAAATCAGGACTCGCCACGGCGGGAGAGCTCGAAACATAAATTTTCAATTTTGCCGGGGCGAAAAAGTTTAATTGGGGGCCGTCCTGGGGTCGGGCGAAGTTTTAAAGCATTTCCGGCCTCGGTCGAACGAGAAGAGCTTTTTGTTCTACGCGAAGAAACCGCTTTCGCGGAAAGCACTCTCTTCTCGCCGATGCACTTCGCCGCTTAAGTAGTCGCGGCTTTCCGAGGGGAAGCTGGAATTTCGAGGGGAGACGAGGAGCCGAGATTTTCGGATTGTTTATCGTCTTTCGCATCGTCGTTTATTTTGGCCCCAAGGACGATCGAAGGAAACGGATCGGCCTTTTCCGCCAAGGCCGGTGAAACTCCATTTCCGGAATCGTAAGGCCCACTGTAACATGTGGTCCCGTCTTAAACCATTACATCCTGTTTTCACTCCAAATAACACGCGATTCGAATTGACATAGTTTATTTTCCTCCCCAGGAAATTGACTTAACTTAAGAACTCGGCACCTGCGCGAACGATATTTAATATCTTTTCAGAATGTCATGATTATGTACTAAATAATTGTAATTTTCTGGTTGTTCTAGAACTATGTCAGGGGAATGAGATCACATTTCTGGCGATATAGTGTAGTGTACGTAGTGGGAAAAGTTGAATCGTTAATGCAATCGGGAATTAACTCGCTCGCATTAGCGTTGAATAATTGTCAGCGATAATTCGGGACGACGCAACTTCGAATCAATTACGTTGTTAGAGGCCCATTATCGCATTGACCCTTCTTCGAGTACTTAGCATTCTAGACGCGCCTCGTCGTGCTTCCTTCCCTTTAATCCCATTTCCTCTGACTACTTTCTTTTCCCAGCATCGCCAACGCCGGGAGCGCCGATCACGCGAGGGAACCGACGAGGAGAAATCGAGAACGGGAAGGAAATCCAATGCCCGCCGAGAATCACGACGAAGTGCAGCTACGATTTCACAGTCTTGTTACTACCTTACCTCGCGAAAATCATTATCAAAATTTTCCAGAAATTTTGTCATCCGCTTTTCGTTCCATTTCCCGAGGCAAAACCGCCGTGGAAGAATCCTAGATGAAGGAAATTGCATCCAGTCTGAAGTGATTGATTCATCAAGAATAAATTTATTTACTAATTTATTTTATTTATTTATTTGCACATTAAAAATTGATTGGAAAATCAGTTATAAAACATCCTACGCAACGATGACCAATTTACCTGACGAGATGATACAATTATGTGTAACCCTCATTTCCTCCGTACAACGTGATGTTAAAATTAAGTGTGACAAATCTCTACGTGGTATATATCTCCTCCATCCAACCTATTATCAATTTAAAATAATCTGTCTTCCCTGTTTCCTGGGTCTTAGCCGGCGCCCTTATCGCGCATCCCCAGCATAGGTGCGATATACCAACACCTCTCGGTCGGCGCGCTTCGCGCCTCTGCGGTCCTCGCTAAAGCGCCTCGCCGTTAGTAGGGTCGGCATGCGAGGTGGGGTGCGAGTGGCCGGCTCGGTGCGCGCGCACCCGAGCACGCCGGCGGCAGGCTCCGCGTGGTCGGCGCGCCGCGGCGCGGTTCAGTCGTGCCGCAGCCCTCGGAGCGCGAGGTCGTCGTCCGTCGTGGATCCCGGGAACCAAAACAATCCGCGCCCCGCCGCTCGTCGAGCATTCCACGGGCCTTCCCCGGGTGTAAGTACCTTCCAAGCCGGTCGGTAGAATCCGAAGCCACGGAGGGTTCCCCTCGCGGGGTCGCCGTACCCGTTGGCCGATTCCACCTGCCAACGGAGGGCATGCGCTCGCTCGGTCGCGAGTCCTCGTGAGCGGTCCCCGAGATGGCGAGAACTCGCGTCCTGGCTTTGCTAGGGCCCTTGGCCCTGGCCCTATCCTCGGCCTCGACGCCCGACTCCAGGGTGTCGGTTTTGAAGTGCTGCCCGAATGGCAGCGAGTTGTCGAACCCCGAGGGCGCCGAGGGGCCTCCACGTTGCGTGCCGAGCACCGGCCCTTGGCGACCGCTCATCTACTCGCCCAGTCGGCAGGGTATGCTCAGCGAACCTCCCCCCAACTGGCGCGTCATCGAGAACTCCAGGCCCAACTGCTCGCCCTCTACAGTGCTAACCTACATCCCGAACCGCAGCTACAACCCCTTTTTCCTCCTCGAGGTCGGCAGTGCCGTCCTCGACGTCAGCGGTAGCGGGAACTCGTTCGAGCCCGGCGAGTTTTGCGCCGACGGCAACGCCCTCCTTGTCTGCGCGGCAAAGCGCGAGGTCGGACAGGCGGCCGCGACCGCGCGACCAAGGGTGCACCGGTGCTGCGGCGACGGAGCCGCCTTCCACGAGGAGCGCAACACCTGCGTCAATCTGAAAGAGGAACCGGACGCACCTGCGCTTCTGCCTAACGCCTCCTTCGTTGAAATCGTCCCCGGCTTCCCGCCGTGCCCCAAATCGGACAACTTCACCATCCTCGCCGGCACGGAGGACGCCATCTTGAAGGAGGACGGCGGGTTGGAGGTCGCCGGCGTTAAACTCCCGCCTGGACAGTTCTGCGTAGAGAGGATCAAGGAGATCGGATCTGCGAAAGTTTTCGCCTGCTCGGTGCACGCGCCCCAGAGGTATGTGAGATCGGTCACGTTTACCCCGAATTTTTGAAAGTGGAAATGTGAGAATATTCGCGGAATATATAAAGGCGTTATGGAAGGGTCATTTTGTATGCGACAATAAATACACAGATTTGACATGAAATGTAAGGTTAGTAAGCAAAAATGGGATGCATCTCTCATTTGAGATTTTCCGCCGAATTTTACATAGAAGTAGTCATAAATAATATGGATAATGAATAGTCATTCATTATTAAGTATTCCATTGTGATAGTTTTTATCCTAGGTTCTAAATGTCGGGCCGAGTTCTAATATCTCGGATACAGGCTCTAAGAGAAACAGGTGTGAAGCTACGAAGTGAGGTTAGGTCGCCGCGCTTTAAAAACATATCGCGCCGAAGCGGTCACCTCTGCTCCATTGTTTTCCCCCGGACGTTGAACCGTCAGTATACACGGTGATTCACCGAGTGTTTTGGAAAACGTTATTGGAAATTATACACGCCGGCCTCTGGTAAACGATCCACTTCGGCGTAGGTTCTTTCCGGCGGGGAGAGAGGGAGAGAGAGAGAGAAAGAGGAGAGGGCCATTTCCGAGAAAGTGTTCCAAACACTCGGACGCTCTCGGAGCGCCGAAATTCTCGGCCGCATCCTCGAGATACTGGAAATCATTCGAAATAAATCCCCCGTATAAATATTTTCGACAATCCGGAGCCGAGATTGCATCGTGTCGGTGGATAAATACGTCTTACAACTTGTCGCCCGAGATATTCTTAGGTCGATTCCTAGTTGAGATAAAAAATTTTAATGTCTAGGAAGAAACGGCCCGGCTTTTTATACCGCCAAGCCGATTTTTTAAAATGCCCCCGGGGAACTCCGGAAAAAAAAAAATGTTATTCCCAGGTGGCCTCCTGCTATCGGCGGAATAAATTTCCCAGATTTTCCGCGAATGACCCGTAATGACGACGCACGTTAAACTTTACGTGGTGTAAGGAGTCGAGGTCCTGTAAAAGTTCTCGGAGGGACCTCCCCATGATGTCGAGCATCCTTTATGGGCTTCCCCTGACCCCGAGCGGGCGGAACGAGGGGACCTTCTCCTTGGCATATTGGAGGGAACGTTTCCAGAGCCCGTTTTCAAGTTTCGCCCCCCGACGTTACGAAATTTGCCCTCTTTCTTCCCCTGTAATCCGGGAAGGGGCGAGAGGGGGACGGGACGAGAACCATCGCGGAGGAGGGTTTTCCCTCTCGTTTCGTTTTTCTCTTTCTCTCTCTGCGTGGCTCTCCCTCGACGAAAGAAAGCTTCGGGCCGATTGGCTTACGAGACCGTCAACAAAGGACGGTCGAAGCCAGCTCTCGGAGGCTTCTAGGTTAGGAGGTCGATATTTTAGACCTCGAGAGGCCGCAAACGGTTTTGAGGTTAACTCCCCGCGGGGGGGTTTTGCCGCTCCTTTTTTACCTGCGATTTTACGCCGACTCTCGGACCTCTCTCGATGCACTTTCGGTCTCTCTCTCGAGGTCCTCTTCGTCTCTCCGGTGCACTTCCTATCTTTCTCTCTCTCTCTCTCTCTCTCTCTTTGTGGCCTCGGAGATGAGGAGTGCTCGAGAGCCGAGCGCAAAATAAACCCGGATTTAAAAGTCCAGGCTTTTCTCGGGTTGCTTTTTTTTCCTCCTCTTTCTTTCTTTCCAATTTTCTTGCCCGCGCAACCTCTAGTCTCCTGGTTATTTATTTATCGACGAGTCTCTTACACCTGCTGGAGATCGATGGAAATTTACATGCAATTTTTACACACCTCGTAAGTGAAAGCGTAAAATGGGAAGCTTAGAACATGTATAAATACCCACGATATGGAATATTTACCGCGTTCGTGCATTTTTTACTCGAATTAAGTGGAATATTACGTTATAATTTTCTTAAATGCTGCATATATGTATCGTAACGAATTTAATTTTACTGCAATTTTACTGCAAACGATTAAGTGTGTAAAGTTACGTGGCATTTTTATCAGCGTAGGACGCTCGCAATTCCCCCCAAATAATTACCGATATATTGCGTTGACTTTATTATTACACTTTCCTCGTTAAAGTCGAATGTTCCACTTCGAGGTCCCTCCAGGTCGTCGAAGCTCTCGAGTGCTTTGAAAGCTCGGTTGCGAGGTTGCGATTTGCAAGAGTCTCGAAGCTGAGGCTCTGGATGTGCGAGAGTCGGGGTGTATTAATTATTAATTGAGGAATTAATTGCGAATCGCTGGGAGGAGATGCGAGAGTAGGGAGTCGGTGCAAGTAGCGACCTACTTAACCCTGTGCACGGGGCGATTTCTTTTTTATCTCTCATTCTCATTTTTTTTCCTCTCCCTCTCTCTCCTCTCCCTCTTAAATGTCGGGCCTTGTATACTCGAGCTGGACCGCGATGCACCTCAATTTACCGTGGAACGAGGCCGGAACGAAGTATCGGGCGAATCGCGCCGATCGAGGTCGCCCCTCGAGCTTCTCTTTCTCTCCCGAGGTCTCCGAGAAGCGCCTCGATTTTTTACGACTCGACTTACCCGAGTTAAAAAAAAAAAAAGAAAAAAGAGAGAATAAGATTGGCCAATTCGAGTCTGGTCTCGAGTCGGTAATTCGACGTAGGAAATAGAAATAAACGGAGTCTTGTCTCGTTGCGAGACAACGTACCGATGACTCGAGTTACAAGAGAAAATGACGGTAAAGAAAGTCTCGAAGAAAATTACAAGGGCCATGAGAAATAACGCTCTCTACATGTGTCAATAAATATAAATATTCATCCGATCGAACTGGCGAAATTTGTTGTTAAGACCTCTTTGGCGAAACGCATGCGCGAATGTCTGCGGATGCGATTTGGCACGAAATTCTAGTGGTTTATATATATGTTTATATAATTCGAGGCGCGGGAAAAGTAACTCGAGTTGTCTCGATTTAACTAGAGTTTAACCTTAACTCGTCGCGGATAGAGGGCGAAGAAAATTCAGGAAAATAGGAGGGCGAAGCGAGGGTAAGGGAGAGCGAAAACGGCGATCGGAAGTCGAGATGTTCGATCTTTGCGTGACGTCGCGACGGCAAAACCCAAACTTTCTTCGAGACTTTCCCTGATTTCTCGAGGAAGCCTCTCGGCAGACTTTAAGGCCACTCCCGACGCGCCTACGGGAGACGTTTACCGGCGTTTTACGAGCCCGCCGTAATGGACGATACGCGGGATCGATTAAATCACCGTTAAGCTTCGTTGCCGCGCGTGGCGAATCGTTAACGCGGGATTTCTCGACGGGCCCGAAAGGATTTCGGAGGTTTCCCAGCCTGGAACGCGGCCAGGGGCTCGGAAAAATTGGAAAATCTCGTTGAGGGAAATCCTCCTCCGGTTCGGCCTCGTCATTGCCTCCGACGAGGTTGTTGGAGTTCTGCCGTGGATAAATTAATTCGTATATACCTCGGAGGTCTGTTTCGATTCCGAAATCTCTCGATCCTGAGTGGCCTTAGAGTCTTCCGCAAAAAATTGGAAAAATTGGAAAAATTGGAAAAATGAGAAAAATTGAAAAATTGGAAAAATGAGAAAAATTGGAAAAATCGGAAAATCTCGTAAGGGGAAATCCTCCTCCGGTTCGGCCCCGTCATTGCCTCCGACGAGGTTGTTGGAGTTCTGCCGTGGATAAATTAATTCGTATATACCTCGGAGGTCTGTTCCGATTCCGAAATCTCTCGATCCTGAGTGGCCTTAGAGTCTTCCGCAAAAAATTGGAAAAATTGGAAAAATTGGAAAAATGAGAAAAATTGAAAAAATTGGAAAAATGAGAAAAATTGGAAAAATCGGAAAATCTCGTCGGGGGAAATCCTCCTCCGGTTCGGCCCCGTCATTGCCTCCGACGAGGTTGTTGGAGTTTTGCCGTGGATAAATTAATTCGTATATACCTCGGAGGTCTGTTGCGATTCCGAAATCTCTCGATCCTGAGTGGCCTTAGAGTCTTCCGCAAAAAATTGTAAAAATTGTAAAAATGAGAAAAATTGAAAAAATTGGAAAAATTGGAAAATCTCGTCGGGGGAAATCCTTCTCCGGTTCGGCCCCGTCATTGCCTCCGACGAGGTTGTTGGAGTTCTGCCGTGGGTAAATTAATTCGTATATACCTCGGAGGTCTGTTTCGATTCCGAAATCTCTCGATCCTGAGTGGCCTTAAAGTCTTCCGCGAAATCGAGGATCTCGAGTTTGGGTTCGATCTCAATTTTAGAACGAGATATCCACATGGTCCGGTGAGTCGATGTTGACATAGGGTAGGAATACGTGATTCACTGGGTTTAAAAATCGCCTCCGACGAAGTTTCGGCAAGGTCGGATGTATTCCGAGTCTCGTCTGGGTGCGTTGGAGTCGGGGACTGTGATTACAATTTTGCGAATTATTTGGATTTCTTTTCTTTTTCTTTTTCCCTATATCTATGTGTACTGTTTTTCTTTATTTTTTTTTTTATTGTGCCTAAAATATTCATCAAAGTGTACGTAGAACGTAGAGAAATACTTTCTAGTCAGAATTATTTGGCCACCCAATGTACAACACACGAGTCAGGTATTGACACTATTTGCCCCTAAAAGTCACTGATGATGATATATGATTTCTATGAAGGTTATCTCGATTGCAGGAAGGTGGTCCAGCCTGAATCGGACATCCGGTTCACCCTGTACCCCGTGGGGTTCATCATCAGCGTGGTCTTCTTGGCAGCCACCCTGGCAGCCGGATGGCTCCTGCCGGCGTCTCACCACGTGCTTCACTGGCGATGTCAAACCCACCACGTGGCGTGTCTCATGCTGGGGGATCTGCTGATGGCAATCATACAGCTAGCCAGAGACTCCCTTCAAGGTGAAGTGTGCAAGATCTTCGGTAAGTGATGCAGAGATCGATCGACCCTGGAAAAGAAAAAAAAAATCGACCCCCCTGGATTCTTCGAGATCTAATTAAATCCAACTCCACTATCGCGCCAGTTATCCAATTATCCGATTACATTTCGGCGAGACGAGGCGTTCATACCTCGGCTAATGACGCCGGGAAAATCGAAGAAACCCTCGCGTACACACTCTCGCCGAGGGCGATAAATTCTCCTTAACAATTTGCATTCCGATCCTTTATCCGGCCAGATAAATGGATTTAATCCCGGCCCTAGGGCTCGCGACGGTGTTTGGGGAGCGTTTAATTGAGGGAAAAAATTAACATAAAAAAGAAAAAGGAACGTGCCGGTTACGTATGGAATGCTAGGCACGTGACGGCTTTGGGGATTTCAGGATTAACCGGTGGTCCGCGTAACGATCGCCATAATGCGCTCGGGGGGCCCAGGTCCCCCTTTTTCCCCCCTCTTCTTCTTTTTTTTTATTCCTCTCAATTTTCCAAAGCGCGTTAATTGTCGTTCCGTATATTCCCGCCGGATAATGCAACAAATCTGAAAACCGATCCGCCGACCCAATTTAAATGCCCCGGCTCTCCGCAGCCCGAGTCCGGCATTATTCGGCCTGGTCACGGATTTCCAGGGGTAATTCGGGTAATCGCGGTAATCCGATGTAGAGCTCGTACCTGCCCAGACAAAACGGCTGGCTTCGTTCCTGAATTTGAAGCGTTTCAACCTGTTCGAGGACCTTTGACCCGAAAAGACCTCGAGAGCCCGTGCGACATGAATTCCTATTAACATTCGTCGCGGCGTATGAATTTCTTTTTCTTTATTTTTCAATTAAGGTTTCAATCCTTTCTCCATTTCCATAACGGAGAGTTTATCTGGAATTTTATATCCGGAAGCTTTTTTTTTTTTGTATAACATTTGTACACATTTTTTTAGGTTGAGGAATAAGTTCCCGTCGTTTATGACGTAACGTAGCGCAATTGAAACGGCGGGAACTTAGTCTTGAACTTACTATAGTTACGTGGTTTGTAGGCAGACCCGTGACTATACGTGGCAATGAAAGTAAAGGTCCGAAGGTCGAGGACCTCGATAAGGTCCACGACCTTAAACGCTCAGTCATCCCGAAGACCGGCGAAAGGAGAAAGTGGGACGGAACTCCGTTGGCCTAGAATTTAATACCGGAAAGAGAGGGAAGAGAAGTCGAAATACGAGAAAGGGAATGAGAGGAGAAAACGGCCGTTTCGGGTCTCGTTCGTTTATTTCCTCCTATGTCAGGGCTTAAACGACGTACAGGGGAAAGTCTTCTCGATCTCCGGGACCGCGAGGAAAGGAAGAGCACGTATTCCTGTTTCTCTTTTTCCAGAAAGATTCTTCTTCTTCTTCTTTTTAATTCTCCCCGATGTAGAGTCATTCCATTTGCCCGGTTTGCCTCGATTTTCCCCCCCTTCTCCGCCTTCGGCGCGTCAAAGCGATGAATATGCAGGATTTAAGAGGTCCTTCCGGGGCTTCGACGTAAAAAGCATTGTTGACTCTGCCGTGTAAACGGATTCGGCCGTGTCGGCGCCCTTTGAATGTCCCGCTCCCTCGGGATAGCGCGAACTTCCATTCGATCCCGGGACACCCCTCTCGTTCAAAATTGAGTTTTCCCGAAAGATTTTAGGGATGCACGGAGGCGAACGCCTCCCTAGGGGGTTCCTCGAGTTCCGGGATTCCTGTCTTCCCTCTTCCTCTTCGACCCTCTCCGCTCTCTTTCGAACGAGGAACCCGGAAGTGGGTTTTATTCCTCGTCCTGGGTCCTTATACTTTTCCTAATCGAATTTTTCGACACGCTTCTTTATGTATATTCTATGCCTCTATGTATTGTACATCTTCATTTATACCATACACCTTTATTTATCCTGTACAGCTTTGATACTGTTTAAACGGCGTGGCGGATTTTCGCGAATTTCCTGCCCCTTTCACGGATTCCCGAATGGGTCCGTTACGAGTTCGGCTCCTCGCTCTCTTGTCTCCAATTATGCCTAATGAAAGGAGAGAGTTAAAACGACGTCTCTCGACACCGTGCAATGCTATTCGCCTCGGTGTACGCGTCCGTCGAAGTGCGTTTTCAGCGGCCCGGACAATGCGCGAGGCGCGTATCTCATTACGACGACGCGGCATAATGAAGGCCTCTCCGGTAATCAGCATGAAATCATGGCGTTCCATTAAAATTTAAATTGCACAAGGCACGTGCGCACCTCCGCCCAGGGGGGGCCCTCGTCCTCCTCCGGGGTGAATTTCGTATTCCTCGAGGCTCTTTGATTTAAGGCGGGGGTCGGACACCCCTCGATCCTCATGGAAGAATCCTTTCCCTCGAAATAATACGTGTAGATGTACTATACATATTTTTTCATAAATCTTGAATCAAAGGAATGAGCGAAAGGAAGGAAAAAAAACAAAATATCTGCTCGGATTCGCAGGGGCGCCGAGGAAGTAAAAGTACCGAGACACGGGTATACGTATATTAAACGTATTATTCAACAAAATGTCGAGTAAAAGAAGTGACGCGATATTGTACATACTTTTTCATAAATGTGGAACCAGAGAAATAAGTGAAAAAAAAATATATATATTTTTCGATAGTGCGGCGTGAATAATTTCCCGGGGTAGCAGCGGCGACGAACGAAGAAAAGTGAGATCCACGAATATTTTGGACAATATCGAATCGAAGAATTGAAAAAAAGAAAAAAAAAAAGAAGAAATCTCAGAGGTGCGGTTTACAAATTTCCTGGGATCTCGTCGCGTCGGGAGAGGAAAAGTGTCGAGAGCCACGAATACCCACAGTATATATATTTTTTTTTTAATAAATATGGAACCCATGAATTTAGGGAAAAAAAAAAGAAGAAAATATCTCAGAGGCGCGGTTTGCAAATTTCCTGGGATCTTGTCGGGCAGGGAGAGGAAAAGTGCCGGAAGAGACCTCGTCCTCGTCCTTCGGCAGTTTTATTTTCCGGGAGAATAAGCCTCGGGGAGCTGTGAAACCTTCCCGTGTTCCCTGACCGCGGCGTAATGGCGTGCAGATGGCACTTCTCGTTCAACTGCAAGCGCAACTGCACGGTGCAGCTGCCGGTGTCGCGAAGCGTAATCCAAGCCCCGTGAAACTGTCGCCCCCAATAAGTCACGTCAGCGAGGCCGAATCTCGAGTCGGTCTCGGGAGAAAACGGGGAAAAATGAAGAATCGACGCCGCGGCTTTCGCGTTTCAACATTGACTAGGGGAAAGGGAGGAGAAAATTCCCCCTTGTCCCGCGCCACCCCCGAGGGAAGATCTTTGATCTTCAATCGGTTCTCGTGAACGGATATTTGATTTTCGAGGAAGTAAAGTACAATTTTTTCTTTCTTCTTTTTTTTTCTTTTCATTTTCTTAAGGGAAGTATAGTTTCTTTTATCTTTAATATCAATGATCTAGATGCAAGGAAGAGTCCCGGTGGTCTTTGGACAAGGATCTCCCGAGGTATCGTTTCGGAGCCCCGTCCTTGTGGCGAGTCGCTCAATGCCTGGGAAGCGTCTCTCAGATTGGACCCCAGCATCCCCCTCGAGAATTCTTTGCCGATCGGCGCGGATGCACGCAGAAAAAGTTCCCTCCCCAGGATGTCCTCGGAGTCGGCGATCAATTCCCTCCTTTGTAGCCGGGCATTTCCGTCGGTTCCTTCCATTTTCGGCCGGATGCACTTTACCCGATCGCGCCGTGAAATATGTATCTCTCGTGGCTGCAAAGACCGGGTATGACTCGATTACCCGAGTGCACTCGGACTGCCCGGAGACACGGAAGGGAATTTAATTTTTCGGTCCTACGAAAGGACCCGACCGCGCGAGAACGCCGGACAATTCCGCGGCGGTGCTTTTCATTTACTTCCACTTTGAAATGGAAAAAAATATATATATACATATTTTATATATATATATATATATGCACAACAAAATGCGACAAAAAAGAAAATCACGCTCCACCAACTCGCAGCGGAAATTCGCACGGACTGCCTCGCCGCATCACGAGATACCAATCCTTGATTTTATCCCTTGACGTTTTAACAAGGGATGCACTTTAATCCCTTACGTCCTTAATTTTGCGAACCTACGGAGAACTTCGTCAAATCTTTTCATTTATTTCTACTCTGGAATAAAAAATAGGCGATAAAAAAAAAACAATGCGCTCCGCTGACTCATGGCAGAAATTCCCACGGCCTATTCGTCGCTTCACCAGATATCGATCCTCGATTTAATCTTTTGATAATTTAACAAGGGATGCATTTTAATTTTATTTAATCCTCAATTTTGCAAAGCTTTACCGAAGTTTGGAAAAATCTTCTCCTTAGGTGGACTTGGAATGGAGGGATAAAACATGGAGTCGGGGCCGTTCAGCGAAAAGCGACTTCCTCGTCGCCTTGGGGGAAGTTCCCTTCTTATATATGTATATAATGTGTCTATATATGTGCAGGAAATTCGCGAAGACACCGATTGGATGATTGCTCTCCGGTTTAATGTCATCCGCCGAGTGGCGAGTGATTGACTCTCTCTCCTTCTCCCTCTCTGTGATTCTCTGTCTCTCTTTCTCGGTACGTCCCGGTCTCTCTAACGAACTCGCCTTTGAACTCTCGACGGTCGGAACTCTGGGAGTTTCATCTAATTAGTCCCGGCCTATCTGGGCACTCGAGCCGTTAAGTAGATGCGTGGCAGGGGGGCATTGCTCGGCGATTTACTCGATTTATTTGTGGGCTACTCGCCTCGGATATATACGAGACCGAGCACTCCGAGCGAGAAGCGAGTAATCGCGGATTTTGATAAGCGGGTTCTGGATGCGCCCACCCATCGACAATGCTCCCTCTGTCCTTCCCTCGGGAACAGATGAGACCCCTCGTCTCCCCGCGAGAGGATAGTCGCAAAATCGTCAATCGCGGCTGCAGATTTTCCGAAAATTTGCCATTTTTTTTCCTTTTTTTTGGCGTCTTAATATTA